CCATCATCATCATCATCATCATCATCATCATCATCATCATCATCATCATCATCATCATCATCTTTAGCTGCTGTAGCAGCAGCAGCCTTTTTGTCCTCGTGCCTTGACCTGTCACCAACAAGAGCTGTCCGTCTATTTCTGTCCTGAGCCACAGTCTCCATCTCTGTCCAGTTGTATACCATCTCCTAAGGTCAGAGTCTAACTACGAGCTAAATTGATATCGCAAAAATCTTTCCACTGCGGCTACCTGTGATGTTTTACCAGTTTTATTCAGAGCCTCCACATTCCACCTTCCGATTCTTGTTGTTGTGACTAACAGTCAGTCGTCAGTCGACACATTTTCTTTGTCTATTCAAAATAGCTGTTACCTGTGTGCGTGGTGTAGCGATTTGGCGCTTCGCCGTCGCACGCAGAAGACCTGAGCTCGATTCCAGTGTGGGGAGAATCTTTATCGACAGTTTCGGTTATTCTGTTACGACATTATTTCCCTCCCAGCACACCCTTTGATCCTGATAGGCAGGGTCGAAGAAAGCCGCTTCCTAGATTATCTGAACTGTGTCAATGGGGATGTAAAACACCTGCATTAAGAAAGAAAGGGTTTCACAGCCAGGCCTCTTATAAGTTATGCAGTTGGCTGTAAATTACCTAAATTGGGTCACTATGGACGTAATTAGTAAATAGGTTTATTCAGTGTTTAAGGTCTTTGGCCCACACCCCATCATGTAGTAAACCTTAATATTTCGTTAAATAAAGTTTCCCTGATGGAAAAATACAAGTTGTGCACACTTCTCTTATCCTGGGTCAAACATTGCATATTTCTGTCACTGGGTCGAGTCAGGCTGGGAGGAATTGACAATTTCTTTTGACCTGTCAGATTGGGACAATAAGAAACAAAATGAAATTCGTCTTCAATTTCAGGAGAGTTACACCTCTCACATAAGGGTGAATTTAATTCATCATTTCCACCAATAACAATTGTTATTTAATGGAAGGCTATGACTTTTTTTAACAAGGTTATGGCTCTTCTACTCCAATACTTTTGGAGGTTGATGATAATATTATACTCAGCTGTTTCTGGAAACAGAATAGTAAGAGAGAATAAATTATAATTGCGGCAGACTTCTTCCTCTATGTTCTGCACAGAATGCATAAGGGCCAGTTTTTTTTGTGGGTTTTTAAAATAATCTTTCCCCATCACCAGGCCAACGCTTGTCATGCCTATCAGATCTTCCGCCGTAACGGTATCCCGAAGGAGCAGATTGTGCTGATGATGTATGATGACGTAGCTTACAATCACCAGAACCCGTACAAAGGTAGAATTTCTCTCTCTCTCTCTCTCTCTCTCTCTCTCTCTCTCTC